GTGAGAGTGTGAGTGGTTTGGGTGAGGGGGGTGAGATGAGACGGAGGCTTTAAGATTGGCTCCGTCCTTCCTTCACTCCTCTCCGAGGTGAAGACCGGTGGCTGTCGTCGGACGTCCAGCGGAGCGTCTTCACCATGGAGGTAAGAGGATCACAGACACCACAGACACCACAGACCGCCATCATCACAGACCTCCATCACCACAGACATCACAGACCTCCATCATCACAGACACCACAGACCCCACAGACCCCCATCATCACAGACATCACAGACCTCCATCATCACAGACACCACAGACCTCCATCACCACAGACCTCCATCACCACAGACACCACAGACCTCCATCACCACAGACCTCCATCACCACAGACATCACAGACCTCCATCATCACAGACATCACAGACCTCCATCATCACAGACATCACAGACCTACATCATCACAGACCTCCATCATCACAGACCTCCTTGTTTTTGTCTGTTGTTTCTCTGTAAAAATATATTTTTTTATTTGTCTGTTTTTATTTTCAGATTCTTTTTTTTCTTCTTCACTTATTGATGTTTTTTTTATGTTGTTTTTGTTCTTTTTTTTTTTTTTTTGTCTCTCAGAAACTTCAGAGTTCACAGAGACGGTGCTTAGAACTTTTCAGAGATTCGTAGAAACGTTCTGAAAATCTTCAGCCGTGGTTTTTATGTCCAATCACAGAACGGTCCACGTCCACTGCTCTCAGTTTGTCTCATTCCTGTATTTGTGGATTTAGGCTTTATGAATACTAAATATTTGAAATACTCCCCAGGACTTTTTATCTGCCAGCAGCTCCGAGGAAAAATCTGTTCAGAAAAATCCAGGGAGAAAGAAATGAAAATCAGACAAAAAAAAAAGTTCATACAAAACGAAAAATAATGAATGTTGACGTTGATGTTGATGTGTGTGAAAATGAGCCACGGTCCACTGATGGACCACGACCCAGCAGTTCAGGACCATTACTGTAGATTCATAAAAATATTTACTGTCTAATCTAATCTAATCTAACCTAATCTAATCTAATCTAACCTAATCTAACCTAACCTAACCTAACCCAACCTAACCTAATCTAATCTAATCTAACCTAATCTAATCTAATCTAATCTAACCTAATCTAATCTAATCTAACCTAATCTAATCTAATCTAACCTAATCTAATCTAATCTAATCTAACCTAATCTAACCTAACCTAACCTAACCTAACCCAACCTAACCTAATCTAATCTAATCTAACCTAATCTAATCTAATCTAACCTAATCTAATCTAATCTAATCTAATTTATCTAATCTAATCTAATCTAATCTCAGTCCTCTGTGTGTTTTCAGACGCGGTGCAGCTGCAGTTCGTCTCTCGGACGCCTCTCATCACCGAGCTGGAGCAGAAGTAAGACACACACACACACACACACACACACGTCAGTGTCTGTGGCCGACAGGTTGTAAACTGTGGACAGGGAAGTTCACATGAAGGCCCCCGGGGGCCCACGTGGTGCCTCAGTGTCGCCCCCTGGGGGTTGATCCAGGGTATTGTTGTTGTTGTTGTTGTTGTTGTTGTTGTCACAGCTCTGACTTCCTGTTGCATCACTTCAGCGCTGCAGCTGTTTGACTGGTCACTGATGGACATTTATTCCCAACATCAGGTCTGATAAGGCCCTCGGTGTTAGAGCCCTGGGAAAAGAAAAAAATCCAAAATAAAATATATTTTTTTAACACTTTGAACTCACACTGACCTTTTTGGTTGACAGTTTAACTGTTGAAGGTAGCTCTCTGCTGCCACCTAGTGAAGTACTTCTTTACTCTGCCTTTCATCGCAGGCAGACGATCAACAACAACAACAACAACAACAACAACAAAGTCTTGGTGTCACCTGATTAACCTGGACCAATGACGTGATTTTAGCTCTTTTCCAGTGACACTCTGGTGTGCCGCGACCCAGATGTTGAACATCACCTGACACAGACTGTTGTCCCTCCGTTTCTCTCTCTGCAGCCGTTCTGTTCCCAGACTGGGCCTACAAGCCGGCCTGGTCTCCAGGCTCCAGGCAGATCCAGTTGTGGCACTTCCTGTTGGAGCTGCTGGGGCGGGGCGAGGGCGGAGCCATCGGCTGGGGAGGGGAGTGGGGCGAGTTTGTCATCAGGGACCCCGAGAGGCTGGCCCGACTCTGGGGGGAGAGGAAAGGCAAACCGCACATGAACTACGACAAACTGAGCCGAGCGCTGAGGTGATTTCAGCCGGACTGAAACCAGAACAACTGAGTGGGAGGAAACACAACGTTCTCCTGCTCCTCCTTCAGGCTGCCGCCACTCTATTAACACACACACACACACACACACTCAGGTCTTTGCCAACAAACGTTGTCTCATAATAATAATTTAAAATCATTCCAGTGCCCACAGAGGCAGTAAACACTGTGTGGAACGTCTTCATTGTCTTTTATTTTTAACCAAACGGGAGCAGGAGTTCATTCAACATTTACATCCAGAGCAGCTGGAAGAACTGTGTGAAGTGGAGCGTTAGAAAAAAAACTGCAGTCAGATCAAAACAAAGTCTTAACTAAAATGGTTAGAGTTGGTAAAAAAACAAAAACAAAATAACTGAAGGTTTAACGAGATAAAAGTTTTGAGAATAACCCAAACTTTTTTTTTCCTCTCTTGAATTCCTTTTTCAGATATTACTACAACAAACACATCCTGCACAAAACCAAAGGGAAGAGGTTCACCTACAAGTTCAACTTCAGCAAACTCATCCTGGTCAACTGTCCAGGGTTTCTACCGCCATCTCTGGGACAACAGGTCATTACATCACCTCCTTTCACCGCTTAGACGTCCAGAGAGTCAGAGTTAGTGACATCTAAAGGTCAAACTGCAGAGTGCAGGCTGGTCAGGGAACTGACTGAGATTGAAGGCTGCCCAAAAAGTGTTGCACAGCACATGGAGTCAGGGTCAGAGTCAGGGTCAGGGTCAGGGTCAGAGTCAGAGTCAGGGTCAGAGTCAGGGTCAGGGTTAGGGTCAGTGTCAGAATCAGGGTCAGAGTCAGGGTTAGGGTCCGGGGTCAGGGTCAGGGTCAGAGTCAGGGTCAGAGTCAGAGTCAGGGGTCAGTGTCAGAATCAGGGGTCAGTGTCAGAGTCAGAGTTAGGGTCAGGGTCAGGGGTAGGGTCAGGGGTCAGGGTCAGAGGCAGGGGC